TATAAGCACATGTTGACGGTTGTTGCTACAGCCATTATTTTGTTAAGGGCTAATAAACGGTGATGTTCTGTTTATATCATTACTCATTCTTCTTTTATCAACTGAAATTGTTTTTATCAAAAAGAACTTTCCCCATCAACTATGTGGTAACCGTGGTAACCTGAAATCCAATTTAGACAGGAAAGACAGAATAAAGGCTAAATTCTTTCTCTTGACAATTTTCAGAATAATGAGCTGGTGGCCTAGCACTTTCTTAAGATAACTTTTCTTTTTTTAAGAAGTATCGTTATGGACTTATGGATTCTCTATTTTTTGATGTGCCTTGATGAATTGCAATGCTTATTCTTTTTGATTCTCAAACTGTCTTTTTTTTTTTTTTTTGCTTCTTGTGTCTATTTGACACAACCCCAGTAATCCACCTTGGCTTCCTTGCTTTCTGGGTACCAAGATGTCTCAGACACATCTTGTATGTCACCTGTCTCTCAGACATTCCTCAGACATTCCTCCGAGGAGTTCCAATTTTAATATGGGCACTATGATGAAAAACACTACTAAGTTTTTGTTGCTGCTAGGTATTTTTAGTGGCCAACACTTAGGAAATACGTTTTTTTCTAAGGAAAAAAAAATCATGAATGAATAATGACATTTCAACTTAAAATGAACATTTTAGGATATATGCTTTTTAACTATTATTTTTAAATATTATATAGAAAATTATGGTGTTTTTTGTTTTATCCTACAAAATATATAGCTATAATTTTTTCCAAATGGTAATGGCAATATTACTACTAATGATAAAAACATTCAGTGCTCTGTGAGATTTCTTTGAGACTCTGTCTTTGCAATAGAAATGTAGAGTCAAAATATTGTGTTTTAAAGTTACTTGGAGTAATTACTTTTTCAGCGTAGGTGTGCCACCAACCTCATATAAAGTTAGACACACTAGTTGCAGTTTGTTTTGCTGCTCAGAGATATTGAATTTAGTGTTTTTGTTTTTCATCATGCGTTAAACATTTGCGTTATTCTGAAGTCAAAATCGTAACACGAGGCACATTCAACAAAGCCCAGCTTCCTTCCTTACCCCATCTCGCCCTCCCGTGCCTAATAATTTTTATTAGTCTTTTAGTTTAGCTCACAGTTTCTTTAATTCTTAACCTTATTTTTTAACACTTTCATCTAGGCAGGGACGCGATCATCATCATCATCATCTTCAGAATAGAGGAAGCAGCATCCAGTTGTTTAAGCCAGGAGCCCTGGGAATCCAAACCCTCTCTGTTCCTTCCCCTGTTCCATACTGCCCTCTGCAGGTACCTCAGAGAATTTCATTAAGGAGATACAGCCAACTGGTCACTCTCATGGCAGCCACCCAGGTTAAATAGACTGCTTGATGCAGTGATTACTCCTCCCACTCTACGTAAAAACAATATGCCACCTATTTTTGGACTCCAGGTGCTGGGAGGTGTCTGGAGTTAGAAAAACACGTGAGTAAATACGCGTAAGTGTCTCCGTATGCGCGTGTGTCTCTGCGTGCATTTGTGTGTGTGTGGCGTTGCTAGGGAAACAAATGATCCCCCAAAGCTTTAATTTTCTGCTAATACCTAACGTGCTGATGTGGAGGTGAGGTACGTATAAAATCACCCCCGAAGATGACAGTTCAGAAAACAACACGGTTGAACCTATGAAGTCCCAGCTGTAGTCTGGGTATATGTATCAATTAAAAACTCATAAAATGTTCCATGAGTTTAAGATGACTATATAGGTTTTGGGGTTTTTTTCCCCCTCCTTTCTAATTTAATTAAATTTAAATTGTGTTTTCATCTAGGAAGAAAATAGGGACCACGGCTTCCCTAACTAGGCCAGCGTGCAAGTATGACAGAGAAAACGTCTTACAGTACTGTCTGTCATCGAAGGGTTTCTTCCAGCCCCCTCCGCCCACCCCCTCACACACCGGAGATCTGGAGGAGCTGGAGGAGAGGCTGCCAGCGCTGGACCGCAGGTGTCTGCGACCTTCTAACAGGGCGAGCGATAAAAACAAACCCTCAGAAGCATCTCCCCTGCTTCATTTGAGGTGCTTGTAGAAAGGGGCCTGAGGTGGCCTTCCCAGCATCCCTTCTCTGCTTAGACGAAATCCTAGGATACGTCCCCATAATGGTCGAGTTTTTGTTTGAAATACGTTTTAAAAGTGAGCATTTCAATGTCATAGGTGGTTCACATGTATCCAATAGTTATTTATTTCTTCGACAACAAGAACAACCAGTGACATTTTAACCGTGACGACACTGATAATATGTCAGTAGACAGCTGTGAGAAGCCATGCTGCAGGTGGGACCCGAGAAAGGTCACCTTCGAGAACAGGACCGGTGCCACAGCCTTAATGTGTGGGGGGCGGAGTAAGCCAACCCAGGGGGAGCTGCCGTGGGTTTGAGGCGGCCGCCCAGACCCGGGTCCCCCACCCAGGCTCCCCGGGGGAGGCTGCACCCTGCAGCCACAGTCCTCCCTCCTGCCAGCTCAGAGGCTGCCCTTTTCCAGGCAGCTGCGGTTAGCAGAGGCGATCACTGGGGTGACAGCAAGATTGTCTGTGTCTTATTGCTAAAACGAGAGAGATGACTTTTCTTTACCACCTCTGGGCCAGGGAGACTTAAGACCCCTAACTCAGGAATCTACACCGCCTGCTTGGTTTTAAAAAGTTCTTTTCTGATCATGAAAGTAATGCACCTTTGCTAAATTCTTGAAAACTATGGAAAGAGGAATAAAATTGCGTGTGAATGCGACATCGACACCACGCATGCTGCATTCTCACATTCCGTCATGAGAATTTGTCCATCTTTCAAAGCGGGCTGGGTCACTGACCCGTGTTTGATCCAGTTTACGCAGACGCAGCATTTTAGCGAACTCTTTCTTTACTGTTGGACTTCGAGGCAGGCTCTCCTCACTGTGTCTCTAAACGATGACACGCGCATTTAAAGAAATCTTCGTCGATTTAACTGGGGGAATTTTCCTAGAAATAGTTACTATTCTGTCAAGTCCAAGGACTTGCTAAGCTTTCGGAGTACACGGCTAAATCGGCCACCGCCGCTGACATGGACATAGCCACGACTCACACGCGACCCCAAGCGCACAGAATCTGATCATTACAAAAAGGCGGGTGGGAAAACTTGTTGTTCCTTAACGAAGTCGGACCCATTTTCACATGCGCGGGCCGTTTGCGGTTCTTCTGTGAATCGCCCCGGTCCTTCCTCCATTTTTTCATAATTGGGAAATAGTTTTTTTTCTTCCTTTAACATGGCGGGACTTTGGGCATCTGCGTCGTATGGGAAATGTGGCGCTGTCACCACCCGTAAGGACATCGATGCTGCTGGCTGAACGCTAGGGCGACCTGCGGTTTGCCGGTTCCTGTCTAGAGCTCCGCGAGGGGAAGTTTTGCGCGCGGAGCTGCGTCTGCGCACGGGCACTCGCGCACCTGGCCGCCAGGTGTCTCCGGTCGCTCTGGCGGCCCCGGCGCGCGTCCCCGGCGTTTTCTGTCGGGATCATAGACTTTTCTGTGGGGACAGTGGGTTTTACTGTGGGGATGGTGGGTTTTTCTGTGGGGATGGTGGGCTTTTCTGTGGGGACAGTGGGCCTTTCTGTGGGGACAGTGGGGTTTTCTG